TGAATTGGATAAACGTACCGAGGCCGAATGCTGAAGCGAGTAGTCAAGGTCAATTCACAGCCTTTGACATTTGAACATCGAGTTACGATCACGTACATATTCGTGCAGCGAGAAGCGTGGCCTGGTAATTGTATTGAAAAGATAGCAGAGCTCATCGAACGGAAGCACGCACCATGGGGAGAGTAAACGCAAGAGAAAGCTTGCCCACTGTAGACAACGGACCGATGAGAGGCATTGTAAACATGCATGAATATCCAGGAGAATTACAACTCACAAATATGTATCCTGCTGATGAAGAAAGACTGCACCAGCGAGATAATCAGCGTCTGTATGAAGATACTACTGTCAATGGATCTGTACAAATTACTGCGGATGAGAACCTCAGCTTTCCTCAGTAACCATGCAGGCCTGTGTGGTTTGTTCAGTCTACGAGCCTTCATGAGCAGGTAAATTACTCGCCCCGACATCCCAGATGAGAATGTTTGCATACGCTAACCGACCGAAGCCGATAATAGCGTATTGGTAAAGACTGTGAATAAGTAGGCCAATATGTAGTGTCTCCAAACTCCTGCGATTTGAAACGTTAGAGCATACAACTTGGACAGACGAGAGACCCGAACCAGATTGCAGCTACAACGGTCCGTAATAGAGTCGGGTCCCGCTTGCTGCTCAACGCATAGATATATGCTTGTACACAGATTATACCGTACAATCTGTAGAGATTCGTGTTAGTATTAGGGGTCTGTAGAATGTTGACATTGAACGGCAGTACATTAAGTTTACGAATACCTCTATCTCAAATCCTCCAAGAACCGAATGGATGGAAGCATTGACGACGCTCATCCTTCCCTTCACCAGGGATTCACTGGCGGAATACTTTCTCGCAGCACGATGGCAACCGAATGGCCCACTGGCAGACTACCAGCATCAGCTTGCAATCCGGGGACGAACTTGGGCGTAGCTGTTGGACTGTTCTCAACTGGAAGGTCAACGTCGTGGACGGCCGTGACCTTCGAAGAAAGCTGTCGCATACTTATCCTCGCAAGGAGCAGGGACAACGCGAGAAAAAGAAGCGCATCTGGGCAATATGCGCCACCATCAGTGTCACAGGGAGCATGTCTCTCGCGCCATGCCAAACTTTTGTCAGTGGAATGTTCGCCTAATGATCCAACATGACGCTCAGGCAATAGGAAGCAATGTACTTGTATGTAGATCACTCCGTTATACAATGATATGTGATGTCCTTTCTATTGCCCCTTGATGAAGTTGATATTTCATCGAAATGCAAAGAAGGCCGAAGGGTCCCCGGGGATGAGCGCGCACCTTGCGTCAGTAGATGTGTGATTCCGACATATTAAGAGACATGTACTTTTGTTCAATGCCCTGATGTTGAACGTTGACCACTCAACCAAGGAGTGTGCTGAAGACAGTGGGTGCCCGCCCACCACACCCAGACACCCGAAATCACTGTAAATGATGTTACCAGAAATGACTGGTCAATATCATTCAGCATGACTCCATGAGCAATAACGTCGCACGAAGCAGTAAGGTCACTATATGCGCCTATGAGTCTGCCATTTCCACATCGCCATCCCTTGCCGCAACAAAAGACGGCTCCCCATCGGACGGTGACATCAGCCCTTCAGCAGCTTGCTTGATAGTAGCGATTTTCTCCCGCATGACCTTGATGGACTCGAGGAAGAGACGCTCCGGAACATAAGCGCCTTCCGACTCGACGTTGACTGCGGAAGCTTGTAAGGGAGCGAACCTATGAATATCGCGCAACGACTTACAAATGAACCAATCACGTATCCTCATCAATTTTACGGAGCCTTCAAACTCCTTATGCCTAAGCACTTCTCGAGAAACGCTGTCTTTTCTCATCCCGGCCTCGTCTATGGAGACCTAACAGAACGATAAGTGCTTTGCGACGGGTTAATATCATGCAAAAGACTTACTTTGCCATCCTTGTCAATTTTTACAACACCTGGGCTGAAGCATTTTGCGAATTTTTCTGAAAGATGTGGTGGAATTGGCTTCTCAGGATTGAGGACGATGAGGGGGTGAAGGCGGTACGATGCAGTCGCTACGGGGAATCATTACAATCCGGAAGTACGAGGAAGTTACAGCATAGTACGTACCGACTGGACTCCATTTTGCATGTTCTTTACCTACACCCTTGATAGCGTGAACTTCCATATCGATTTCCTGCCCAGGACGCAACTTTACGAGAACAATATCCTACAAAAACGTGCTAAGTGATGGATGTGTGTAGAGTGCCGAAGAGCTTACTTTGTTTGTAGGAGCTGGGGGATTTCTCGCAAAAGCCGACTCTTGTTCACCTTGGGGCACCCATACTAGATCTCCGCTGGTAACCGTGTCATGGACATATTCGTTGGAGCCTTTCTTCGCTCCTGGTGCACGTGTACAGTTGACCTTCAGTCTGAGCAATTGGACTTCCGTAAGTTAGGCCCGAATTGAGGAACTTCGTTGCTTACTGAAAGACAAGTGTATTACGATCATTTGGGCTTGCATTGGGACCCGTAAGTGTCCTCATATCCATAAGGGCCGGGTCGACGTTCAATGGAATGAGACCTAGACGATGCGCAAGCACCTCGTCTTGCATTACAGACGTGTTATTGAAGACATAAACATGCTCAATGGCTATGGTTGGCACCTGCGTAGCGGTCAGTTGCAGACAAGGCCTTGTGATCTGAAAACGTACCTCCGCAATGAGAATCCTACGGAATGCATTTGCTATAGAGGCATCAACTCCGACCAAGTCAAATTCAATTGACCGTTGTGAGAGCCTCTTCACGTCCACTCGCAGGTTCTGCACACAGAAACAGTCAGCTCAGGTGAAAACTTGCGTGGGCTACGAATGGACGTTGCAGGTCTTCCTTCCGCGCAAAATGCATTTACGATAGGTAGTATACTTGGCGACAAAGGCGGGTTTCGCGCGAGTCCATCAACAAATAATGATAGATACAATCATATCACTCGTTCGTCTTCTGCCTATTTCCTTCTCGTTCATCGGCCCAGAAATGAGTACATACCTCCTGAAATTTTTGCAAATTCCAACTATGGTCTTCGCCGGGGTGATGGCCTGGGTATTCCGTATTGGAGACGTCGGAAACATATTCTTTGTGCACGCCAACGTGTCTTCGTGGGTTGTACACTGACTGTGGAAGAGTGGACGGTGAGGACGAAGATGCGAGTCGAGAAGAGGACGCCATTTCTTTGCTAGGCGCTTGGTTCCTGAGTTCTGCCCAAAACCCGGACAAGAAGGGCACGTGGGAGACAATCCCAATGTGGAAGGTGTTCAAGATTGTACACAGTCTCAACTTGAATCTGGTGATCTAGCGGATGTTGGCCGTTCGCCGTCGACCGACACGAATACGACTGTATAGCCAGAGTGTTTTTGCAGCTCGCTGACCTTATACTGGCATTTTCATCAATGATGCAAGGAGCCCACCAGGGCTCACCTGACACTGCGGCGTGTGACAGAACTCTCCCCGTCGCCGGGGCTATCGGTGACTTTGCCATGGGCCCGGGACCCTGCTCGGGCGCGGTATAAGTACCAAGGTGCTAGCTCGACTCTCAAGAGACCCCAGCTTCGCCTGCGCTTGTTGAATTCACTTTGGAAGCAATGACATCTAATCAACAGCTGCCATCCTTTCAAGCTCCTTCATTCGAATACACCAATTCCCCCAACCCAGGCTTCACATATGGCCAAAAGGTTGACTCCACTCCAGAGGGAAAGGCTTGGGTTGAGGGCGAGAAGGATGGATGGACGGATATAGATACCGCTACCGTAGAACCGGCGTATGTTTTCGGCTAGCAATTCGTCGATTTTTGCGGTGGTCACTCACTTTCTCTATAGGAGGCTGGTTCGTTGTTGAGCACACATCGTTTGCGGGATGATCTCCGCTGACTATCGTTTAGTATCCCCTGATGACCAGTGCGATTGCTCCGAGACCGGTCGCTTTTGTGTCAACCATCTCTGAGTCCGGGACGGAGAACCTTGCACTTTTCAGGTACATCCCCGCCTAGTAACCGTTTTAGATACCGTATCACTGACCGAAAATATGGTTTTAACAAGTTGGTTTAATACAGTGAGCACCACAGTGCCATAGTTTGCCGTCTCTTAACATATTAACACTTTTTCCAGGTCACCAGTAATCCCCCGACGATCTCTATCTCGGTCTCAGGCCTCACAGGTCGCAAGACGTCGAAAGATACCGCCAGGAACATTAAAGCAACTAAGGAGTTCACGGCCAATATCATCAGCATCCCTTGGATTGATAATGCCAATGTCGCGTCCATTGATGCTCCTCCTGACGTGAGTGAATGGCCAATCACGGGGCTCACAAAGAAACCCAGTGTGAGTGAATAGCTTTCCCTCATGTGAATTTTCCCATAATTTGCGCAGATTACTGTGAAACCTGCGGTGGTGAAAGAGAGTGCATTCAGCATGGAGTGCGAAGTGAGTATTCAATTGTTTGCCAGAATGATTGCTCAGACTGGTTCTTCTAGCTATACCAGGCAATTGACATCGCAGACCCCAAGACGGCAGTTGTGACTACGACGCTCATCCTTGGGCACGTGAAATATATTCACATCCGCAACGATATGCTTACCGAGCGCGGGACCGTGGATCCCGACAAGCTGAAGCCAATCGCGAGGATGGGTGATATTTTGTACGGTGTATTGGGAGGAGGATTCCGTCTCCGCAGACCAGCTTGGGAAAACGAGAAGGAGAAGCTGAAGACGCTTGTCGACGAGGAAACGTTAGAGCATGCGGATAAGTTGTAAAGGTCAAGATGACTCTTCGAACAACTTATCCGTGTTGTTTCTCATAGCTACTGCAGAGTATTTTTGACTTCGTGTGTGTCTGTGGAGCATACACTGAGCATTTCTACTGTTCGGAGGAGATTAGCACTCTCGATTTTGCTCACGATCTGCAGCAAAAAGTCAAAAAAATCAACAACGCATACAAGTGGACACGTCCGGGATTGAACCGGACCCCTCTCGCAGGTGCACAAACATGCTAAGCGAGCGTGATAACCAACTACACCACGTGCCCTTGTGTAGATGTACCGCTGAAAGTTGTTGAACGTAAGACGTTAATCGTTAAACCTCAGTACAATCCCTTTGACTTGCCAATCTTTTTTTTTTTTTTTTTTAGATCCAAGTTTTGAGTGCGCGTACACACGAGGGTACATGTACACTAAATAATACCATCTGCCTCCAATCAACCCACTTCGAAACGCTCAGGTTACAAAACCCTCCTAGCTTCACCCTTCGGCATCACCGAACCGCCAGATATAGCCGAACCGCCCTCCCGGCTCGTGATCGATCCTGCACGTGCTCGACTTTCTCGACTGTCCCTTGTGGGCACACACACGCGCGACGAGACCTTCCCTCGTTGGTGGGCAATTAAGCTTGCGAC